TTCAATACAATAAAATTGATTGAATTGAATTAAGATTTGTCGATACATTAAATCTGCGATAGCTTTTAGCAAATTTTTAACAAATAAGTTTGCTTTTTTATTTAAAAATACTAAGACGTCCTACCTTGGAGTTTCATACAAACTTCATAGAAATGTATCGTTTTTGACATTTGGATAAACGTATTGAATTTGACTATTTGGAAACTACCGTATTGGGTCAGTTCCTCCGGAGTGGCCACACTGCCTCACAGAAAAACTGAAACACACACAGCGTTGTTTTGTTGCCGTTTGGATGAGGGTACCGGAGGCCCAATCCTCCGTCCATCACCAAATCCCTCGAAGCTAAAATCCTTTGAAGGCCTCCAGGAACCTCACTCACACGGTGATACACAACGTAAGTATATTTTGCTTCGGTTTCTTAGACAACTTGGCGTGAAACACGTACAACTACACACTACTACCTTAATTCTCGCGGGTCTGCGGTCGGCAAGTAAGGGCAGCTCGCCGCCCGACCAGAACCAGGCCCGAGCGTACGGTGCGTAGCGTTCCGCGCGCGCTTCAAAGAGCCAATAGACCACCACAGACGGGGCCCTATAGGGCTGATGTTCAGCCGGGGTTGCGGGGTAAGCGCAATGAGGCACCGCGACCTCAGCCCAGAGCAGGAGAAAGAACAGGGGGGTTTTTAGTCAGTAAGAGTCTGACACTCCCTACCGCCCGTCCCTGGGCGGGAGAAGTCATTTGATGATTTTCCCCTCACAAAAAAAAACTACCTAAATTCTCATTTTGTACTATGGGCACATGATGACCATGTATGTACTATACTATTATGGATTTAGCTTATACACATGTAATACAACGGTAAAGCAATTTAAACCGCTGCCAATCAGCTTTCAAACGTCATCAACAATGTTCTATGATCAGCTGTGATGCCGTTATGCTGTTATTATAATTATTCAATGCCGGTCAATCGCGTACTCTGACAAGACGTACTGACTATTGGTATAGTTGTTTAGTTAGTAAATACCTACATACAAAGTTCTTCTTCGTGCTTCTTCAATTCTTAAGATACTTAAGTGCGAGAGAGCCATGCTTCGGCACAAATGGGTCGGCTCGACCGAAGTAATACCACGGCCTCACAGAAAACTGGCGTGAAACAACCACAGCGTTGTGCTTCGCCGTGTGAGTGCGGTAACCGGCGTGTGTTATATTAGTGAAATCGTAAAACATTTTTTTTAAAGAGTTACGTTGGAGTTTCTTGCTCGTTCTTCTCCATTCGAAACTACAATTTGGAACGAGCACCTAGCTTCACTGACGAACAGACTGATAGACTACTTTTTTATTTTGACGTTTCAAAAGTACCCATTTATGGTTTAATTGGAATAAATGATTTTGACTATATATTTCATACATATACAAATACAAAATATACATATTAAATTAAAAATAAATATTCCAGAGAAAAGAGTGACGAAAATACTAAACTAAAAAACCTTTTTATTATTTAAAATTAATGGACTGAAGTATCCGTATTGTTTTCTGTAGGTACCAACAAACGAAAATGTAACATAGATGTTTACCAACTATTTATAGGTATAAATAGATATTATACACAATACATACTGTCGACTGTACGATCCTATGTACTATGTATGTATATTGTTAAAGAATCCTATCAAAAGCAGACGTATGTATCCTTTGATCCGATTTCTTTGAATATAAAGAGAACTTAAGCGGTTTATATCACCTGTAAGAGCTTCAATATTTTATTTATACTAAAGCTTAGGTACACAACGAAAAATTGAAACGATCTTTATTTATCAAACTATTCGCTATTCTTCTTTTATAAAAGACTAGTTTTTGCCTGCGATTTCGTTCGCTTGGAATAGTGACTTCCTGCAGATTTTTGGTATAAAAACTATCCTATGTCCTTTCTCGAGTTTCAAACTACGTCTGTACCAAATTTCATAGCAATCGGTTTGGTAGTTTGGGCGTTAAGAAAAGACAGATAGACAGACAGAGTTACTTTCGCATTTATAATACTAGTTTGGAAGTTTGGATTTGGATGTGTGATTTTATTATCAACCTAGTAATGTTGAAAATCCATTGTAGAATTGTTTCGGGTCTCCTAGATCAATCTCTGACTGAATTATTTAAAGTACATGCATGGGATATTACCCCGGAAAAAAAAACCTCCCATTTTTTAAGTTCCGTAGCCAAAATGGAAAACAAACCCTTATTCATAAGGGCTATCTGTTTTACTTGTTATCTGTCTGACCGTCCGAATTTTACGGCTATTTTTGCCGAAACGTTAAGAACTTTTGAAACTTGGAAAATATTTTTGTACTACGTTATGAATTTCACACAAAATAAAAAACTTAATTAAAAGTGACACTATTTTTTTCCCTACAAAATCAAGGTCCGACAAAATGGTTCCAGTGTGCCTTTTTATTGTGAGGAGAAAATCATCAAATGACTTCACCGGCCCAGGTTGGCGAGTGGGAATGTCAGACTCTTACTGACTTAAAAACATCCCGTTCCTTCTCCTGCTCTAGGCCGAAGCCGCGACGGAGTTATTACGATTGTTTCGTCGCCGTTTTGAGGAATAGGGTTTTGTAGATTTTGGGGAAGGATTGGGTCTCCGGAAACCTCACTCACATGGCGAAACACAACACTAGTGGTTTCACGCCAATCTGCTGTAAGGCCGTGTCACTCCGGTCAAGCCGACTCATTCGTGCCGAAGTATAGCTCCCCTACACTTAGCCTAATTTTATGTTTTTTTATGTTATTTTCTACTACTATGTATATATATATGTATTTAGTAATAATGTAAAAACGATCACTAATGGCTATCGGTACTTTTGTCAAGACTTCTTATTTTACGTTTCTGATTATCTGTTTACTATATATACTATACTTAAGTATAGAGTATGGATATAAATAGGGTTCTTCTACCCGCGTAGACAAGTTGCGTCCCTATTCACATCAACGCCAAGTCAACCGGTCTTCTAAATATATCGTAGAGTGAATGTACTGACGCACTAACGTACTTGGACTTGGATACGTATGTACATTGTTTATATTGCTCATAATGTAATATTAATAGAAGCAGTTTTTAAGTCATAATTACAAGTTAAAGTCAATTCAAATTCACCATATTTTTGTGTGTGTATCCAATTTAAAAGTTAGGAATGTTACCTATGTCTCAGTAAGTACTAAGTATTGCATAAAAAAATTGAAAGATATGAAACATGGACGCCAATATCATGAAAATGTTTTTTTTATGTAATAGGTCGGCAAACGAGCAGACGGATTACCTGATGGTAAGCAATCGCGCCGCCCATGGACACTTGCAACGGAGGAGTTACGAGTGCGTTGCCGACCTTTAAGAGATTAGGGATTTGGAGATTTAGGAATGAGGAGGGATTGGGGAAGGGGAAGAATTGGGCCTCCGGTAACCTCACTCACACGGCGAAACACAACGCAGTGGTTATTTCACGCCGGTTTTCTGTGAGGCCGTGGTATCACTCTGGTCGAGCCGACCCATTCGTGCCGGAGCATGGCTCTCCCACACTTGTGTGTCAACAAGGCTTCTTTTTTAAACAATCCTTCGAATACAAACACATTAAAATAACTAAACAATAATGTCGTACTCTATATACTAAAGAAAAAATAAGCCGCCGGTCTGTCCGTCACAGAAGCTAGCCTTTATTTTCATAAGGTTCTAGTCGAAAACAACGAGAAAGAACTTCTATCGGTACTCTTTTTCAAATCTTTTTTAAATACAAGCCTCGTCCATAATGCGTCGGTGAAAACCTTGCCTTATAAACTGAAAAGTCTATGCCCTTAATGTTATGGAAACCATCAGTACCGACAAATTGTTCGGCAATCAGGTTTTCAAATACCACCTTGTCACTAGCCAGATACAGTCAATAAATAGTTCAATGAAGATATGACCGGTCTACTGCCATATTATTTACAATTAAAATCCTTTTTCAGATACTTTATTAAGCAAACTAAGCGTGCGTATTCGCATAAAAACAAACAAGCCAGAGTATCAATTTAACAAAAAAATTAAATCATTTATTTCAGTTAGACTTTTAAAGGCACTTTTAAACGTCAAAACAAATAATTAAGTATATATAAGAAGTTAAAAGTGCCACTCTATAAGTCTGTCCTCTACATTTGCTCGTTTCAAAGTAAAGATTTCTATGGAGAAGAGTGAGCTAGAAACTTAATGACAATTCAGTTATTAACCGACTTCAAAAAAGGAGGAGCTTCTCAATTCGACGCCTATTTTTTTTATGTATGTACACCGATTACTCGAAGACGCCTGGACCGATTTGCAATATTATTTTTTTATTCGATATATATATATATTTACTATATATACTATAATGAAAATGGATACTTGCCATTTTTTGTTACATTATTAAGTCGAGTCCGCAATAGATTTCTCAATGGAATAGATCACTAACGGATCACCTGGTAAGGAATTGGCACCGCCGAAGGACATCTGTAATATCTTGGAGTTACAGGTCCATTCCAAGGTTTAGGTATTGAGAATTAGGAAGGACTAGGCCTCCAGATACCTGACTTACACTACAAAACACAACGCTGTGATGCTAGCTGGCTAGCACGCTGATATTTTGTGAGGCCGTGGTATGACCGACCCTGACCCAGCTCATTTGTGCCGAAGCATGGCTCATCATCATCAGCCTATAAATGCCCACTGCTGAGCAAAGACCTCTTCCCACACAGAGTAGGTTTGAGCATTAATCAAGCCTTGAGTCGCTTGCCCGAGGCTGATTAGCGATTTCAAACTTATAATTATAAATTATAAGTCCAGGTTTTCCTGAAGAAATTTTCCGCATGCACGAGGAGCGGACGCGTAATCTTACGGGCCATTACGACTAATGAAAAAAGAATTACGACTCTCCCACACTGACTCCTTAAAAGACTATTTTAAGCGAATCCCAAATTAATCAATTATTTTTCAACAGATCGCGGCCCTCTGCACATTTTTGGCGTTGGTAGCGGTATCATTTGAGCAAGACACACGGGATTCGACCCCCATATCGCCATGTCCAAATGTGTTCATGTACGAGCCGCCCGGTTCGGAACAGGGGCGATGGTATGGCGTCGTGAACCTCTCAACTGATAGCACACTGCACTCCCTGTGGCTGAATATAGTGCTTGACAATAAGGCTGATATACTTGGGGTGAGTATTGTATGAAATAAGTTTAAAAAGTTGGTTTCGCAGATATATCTAGCACAAGACATTTTTATACATGACGTATATACACACGTACATACGTGTATACAAGTCTTTTTTAATCATGACCCCACGGTATCATTTTCGCCTATGTCAATGGTGTGTTTTTAATTTTAAAACTTGCAATATTTACGCTGTTATAATACCCAGAACTGGAACAATAATTCGATTCGATTTGAACAGTCAGTCAACCAGCACCTACTGAGACACTGGACACACTACTGGACCTACAATTTTATACAAGTCATGTCACAAAATATATCCAGTAACTTTTTTAGGCGATAATATGCAATCGGCTCCACCCAAGAATACCCACAAAACTTATAGTGTTGGAGTTAGGAGACTGTTACCGGCCTTTCTGGGAAAAAGTTAAGGCTAAAGTCTATGGATTCGAGAGGAGAAAGATTGGGTCTCCGGTAACCTCACTCACATGGCACAACAGAACGGTGTGGTTGTTTCACACCAGTTTTCCGTGATTTGCTCGTATCTCTGGTCGAGCCGTCCTATTGTCTCGAAGCATGGCTCTCCCACACTTAAAATTTTCCACGTGGCAATACTCACAAAATAAAACTTGGTAAACCATTTTCCTTTAAAATATCCGGTTTTGTCACCGACTTGTGACCTTAATACGTAGCACGAAATTCTACTTCTCCTTAAACCGACTGATTTATTATACGTATAGAAGAAATAAATATGATATATCTATTGTATTTATTAAATTTCTGAAGATTTCTTATAAAAAACTACGTCTGTCTACTAATTCTAAAAATGCGGAAACACCATTTTAATTGACTGCGTCAAATTATTAAATAACGAATCTGCATTTGTTTATGATTTTATTTTTGTTTTTGTTAAAACTTAATGATTTAAGTGTGGGAAATGCAAGCTTTGGCACAAGTAGGGTTCACAGAAAACCGGCTTGAAACAACCACAGCGTTGTGTTTCTCCGTATGAGTGAGGTTACCGGAGGCCCAATTCCTTCCCCTCCCCCATCCCTTCCCAATGCTTAAATATCCGAAACCCTTATCTTTAAAAGGTTGGCAACGCACTCGTTACTTCTTTAGTGCTGCAAGTATCCTTGAGCGGCACTGATTGCTTATCATTAGATAATCCATCTTTTAGTTGATCGACCATTCCCATAAAAAACTGCATAGGTACAGAGGTACTACTCCTACTAATATTATAAATGCGAAAGTCACAATGTTTGGATGTTTATCACACAATCACTCCAAACCGGCTAGACGGGTCTAAATGAAATCTGGCACAGGCATAGGATACACTCCGTAATAGGACATAGGCTACTTTTTATCAATAGATCTCGAAGCTAGTATTGATTCTTATTCCTTAACTATATTCTTCTTGCAGAACTGGATAGGAGACGTTTCAACGCAAGACAATAAAGACTTCAAAATTGAGAACGCGGACATGCAGATTAACCCGGGCCCAGCCGTGGCCGTGCGCTTCTTCGTACAATTCAACCCTTTAAACAAAACTCCAAGACTACAGGCAATAAGACTGAATGGGAGGGAAATCTGTAACGCCAATACACCACAGCCGGCCATTAATGAAAGGCCAGATTTGTCAGAAAACAGGCCTTCGCAAAGGCCGAATAATGGGATTGAGTTGAACACGAAGCCGGTGCACTCACCACCACGGGAGTCGCCAAGACCTGTGTACCCAAGGCCGGGCAGTGAACCTTCGCCTTCAAATATGTAAGTTAAACTTTTATAATACACGCTTACCCCCGAGGAGTGCGTTGCCGTCTCTGTGGGATTTTAGGATTGGAAGGATGGAGTGCGTGAAAGGACTGGGATTCAGCTCGCCTAACTGATGCAACGAAACATAACGCTGTGGTTGTTTCACGTAGGTTTTTAGTGTGTTTGTTTCAGGCCTGACGATCCGGCCTATTCGTGCCAAAGCACGACACTCTAGCTCCACACTTTAGCTCCACAGTTTACCTATTATTCAGTAATACTTCATACCAACCGCTGATATGTTATTTATTTACTAGCTACTCTCGCGCGGTTTCCCCCGCTGCTCGGCTCCATTTGATCGTAGCGTGATGTTCTATAGCCTACAACGTATAGCACAACCACAATATTGTAGATATCTATGAGTGAAAGAATTTTGGCAATCCGACCAGCGGTTCCAAAGATTACCCCCTACATACAAACTTACATATCTCCATTTCTATACTAGCGGCCTCTGCTTGCTTCTCATGGCTATCGGACCGCCTCAGTATTAGTCAGCCAAGTTTCGAAAGGATTGCTATTTACCGATTTTCCCTTTTACATTTTCGTTCGTAAGAACCTTCTCTTAAGCCAAAAAAAAAAAACAAAAATAACAATTATGATGAATGATCAGAAATTATGTTTATGAGTACTACTTACCAACACATTTTGCTTTACATTTTTATATTCTAGAAGACATAGGTATTGTCCTCAACCCTTATTTGAATACATTTATTACATTCTTCAAAACAGATTCTTGCTATCCTTTATCTTTCCTTTATAAATAAACACGTTATTTTTCGGGGCTTATACTGAAATACCGGCTTACTTATTATCTTAAATAAATCCTTTAGGATATACCTTTATTCCTAACGTATATCTTTTTCATACTTAAAAAATAGCCAAATGTAGATAAGGAATCAAATGAGTAAGTATATATTTTAACGTATTACCTGATGGTAAGCAATTGACGCGCCGATGGGCACCCGTAACACCGGAGGAGTTACGAGAACGTTGCCGGCTTTTTGGGGATTAGGATTCTGGAGATTAAGATGAGGGAGCGTTGGAGTTCCTGAAACGTTTATGGGGCAAAACACGACGCTTTGGTTGTTTCACGCCGGTTTTATGTAAGGTCGTGGTATCACTCCAATCGAAACAGCCCGTTTTTGCCGAAACTTGGCCCGCCCACGTTTATGAAATTTGTATTCAAAAAAAACAAATAAATAAACACATAAGTAAGTATCAATGACATCACACAAGCGAATCCATCATGGCGGCGCGGCTCGACGTGACGTCACAACAATTCGTAATGAGCAATTGATTACAACGCTCATTAATATCACGCTATCTACGACTGTCATACAAATTACACCGTACCACTAACTACGTGATTAATTCTCCCATTTGATATGGAAAAAATATTATAACGCAATATTCGTATATTTTCCTGTCAGTTATGGAAAATATAATTACGAACCAACATTTAGGTAGGTATATAAAAGACAATATAATATATTATGGAGTTTCTTGCTCGTTCTTCTCCATTCGAATCTACAATTTGGAATGAGCACCTAGCTTCACTGACGAACAGACTGACATACCGGAAGTTCGGGTTACTTTGACCCTGGGAGGTAACTTTGATCCAAATTTTCGAACCAATGAAAAACGAATATATGTTTGGTTCTCAGTTATTATTGGTTAAAGGGTTTGGATCAAATTTCAGCAGGGGTCAAAGTAACCCGAACTTACCCGGTACTACTTTTCTATTTTGACGTTACAAAAGTACCTATTTGTGGTTTAGTTGGAATAAATGATTTTGACTTTGACTTTGAGTATAGGATTTACACGAAGAACGTAATTCTTTTAAATTTCCATCCCAAGGTAGTCTATAAGATATCACCATGTGTGAAAGAAACGCCCATAGTCCAGACTATAGTTATAAATACGCCTGTTCTTTGTAGAATTCGTTACAATTTGTATAATAAAGTATATGGAGTAAATAAATAAATAAGATTATGGAGATCCGCTGCTTGGTTGCAGAACGACCGATCTGGGAATTTTTGGTGGAGTTTCACTTCAACAGTGAGATTTCTTGTGGCTGTTTTAAGTCGTAATCTTCAGATAATTGATATCTTCGGATTGATAATAACTATAACTTAAAACCGAATCTATACTATTATAATATTAATATAATAAAGCTGTAGAGTTTGTTTGTTTGTTTGAACGCGCCAATGTTCGGAACTATTGGTTCGAATTGAAAAAAATCTTTTTGTGTTTTCTAGTCCATTTAGCTATTAAGGCTATAGGCCATTAAACATTACGCTACGATCTATATGAGCTTAGCAGCGGGTGAAAACGCGCGAGAGTAGCTAGTAGAACATTATCTTCTAGCATGTTTTTTTTCTAATGAACTCCACTTGCTTTAAAAATCATCAAACATTTGATACCTATTCAATGTTATTGTACCTACTCATGATAAAACTGTTTTATTACCTAGCCCCAGCCAGTCTTCAAGCCAGGATCTGCACAGGCCTAACGATTACGTTCTGACCACACTCAGACCTGACCGCACAAGGAAACCCGTAAGGTAAATAATATTCTATTCTTTACTCTTATCAAAAATATGTTACGACTATTCACGTGAATTAACTGTTCTATTTTTAATGCATCGTTGCGTTATCCGAGCGTACTGCGCCTCAAAGAGCCAATAGACCACCACAGACGGGGCCCTTTCGAGAGATGATCTCCGGCCACCGTAAGCGCGGGTCTGCGGTCGGCGAGTAAGGGCAGCTCGCCGCCCGACCAGAACCAGGCCCGAGCGTACGGCGCGTAGCGTTCCGCATAAACCCGCATAGATAGGGGCCCTATAAGGCTGGTGTTCAGCCGGGGTTGCGGGGTAAGCGCAATGAGGCACCGCGACATCGGCCGAGAGCAGGAGAAGGAACAGGGGGGTTTTTAGTCAGTAAGAGTCTGACACTCCCTCCCACCTGGCCCTGGGCGGGAGAAGTCACTTGACGATTTTCCCCTCACAAAAAAAAGACGGGGCCCTTTAAGGGTGATTTTAAGCCTCGGTCTAGAGCAGGAGAAGGAACGGAGAATTTTTAGTCAGTAAGAGTCTGTGGCTTGTCGCGAGAAGCTTTTTGATGATTTTCGCCTAACAAAAAAAAAATCTATTGCGTTTTCGCGATGGCTAGTCTACCGGCTATCTTAGTCTGTGTCGCAAGTTCAATGCTCGCCTCAAACCACTCTTTGTGTGATCCACTACTTAATTGTTTTTCGGGTTCAAGTGTGATGTGTATGTGAATTTGTATACTTGTAAACGCATCTACGACATAGGAAAAAATACTAGTTGTGCAATGGTTAAAACATTAGACAAAAAAAATCAGAGTTTCAAATCACAATGGGAGTCTTCCTTTCTTCTATTTGCTTATTATTGCGCAGCTTACTGGCAACTAGCAGAGCTTTTTTCAGTTAATTCACGTGATTAAGTCGTTAATTCACATTAAATTTTGTATTTCTCACGACAGCTGTCACACATTTCTTTCGCTTTTTTCTTGTAACCTTCTGTCAAACTTTCTAATTCTCTTCTGGTTCTATGATTTTTAATTTTATTTTGCTCTGTGTTATAAAACAAAGTCTTCTTGCTAAATAATGTACAAGACATCGACCAAATTAAAAAAGAAAATAAATCGTAAGTAATCATAATAATTAGCCCCATTAGCATTTAAGTTTTCTATATCCCTCCCTTTGCAAACTACATTTTAGTACTCTCTATGGAAGAATTTCATATTAAAGAAATTATTGATTGTAATTCGTTAGACTCTTTTTTTAAACAGTTACCTTCCACAAAAAATCTAAGTTTCTCTTGTATACATGTAAATATCCGGTCATTAATTAAAAACTTTGTAAAACTACTGCAAATCATTCATAACTGCCCAATTCCTATAGATATCATTGTACTCACTGAGGCTGGAATATCTGATAACATTGTTCAGTTGTATAATATACCTACCTACAATACATATTCACAACTTCGAGCGAATAAAAAAGGTGGCGGAATAATTGTGTACGTAAAAGATTATTTAAAGTTTACTCCGATCCAATACAAAAGTTTTACTTTTGAACATTTAACAGGAGTGTTAAAATAGGACGGAATCAAGACATTGTATTGTGTTCCATATACAAACCACCAGTTTCGAATAAAACAACTTTTGTAAATGAATTAGGCAGGTACATCTCTCAGTTTGATTCAAAAACTAATCTTATTTTGGTGGGAGACACAAACATCGACCTAAAATCCATGTCATCTCATAAAAACTCGTATTTAGAAACACTGCACGGGCGCGGATTGATGTGTGGAATCACGGATTACACTAGAATTGAGACAAAGCTAGACCTTATCACGAAAACTTGTATTGACCATATATTTGCTCGTCTCCCCACATTAGATCCGTACTCGGCAGCGCTAAACATCGTACTGGCCGATCATCGTGCGGTCATACTTACCTGCGTAGATAATGCTGCTCTAAAACAGATACAGCATGTCTCGAAAGTCAGCCTCGACTATAATAAATTCTATAACGAGTTAAGCAAGGTTAATTGGACTCTAACAAATGATATGCAGTCCTCAAATGAAATTTATAATTTTATTTGCAAATCTTTTACCTTTGCACGCAACCAATCATGTACGGAGGGTATTTGCAAGAAACGTCGTAAAATATTTCGAGTACCTTGGATGAATAAAAATATTAACAACCTTTGTGACAAGCGTGATGAACTATTCCAATTGTGGAAAAACAATCCAACAAACGTTCATTTAAGATTAAATTACAATAAAACTAGAAATAAAGTACACAGGTTATTAGAAAAAAGTAGAAACTTATATTATACAAAAAACATAGAACATAATTTTAAAAATACAAAAAAAGTCTACCAAATTGTAAACCAAATGCTTGGCCGGGTAACGTTATCAGTCGATGAAGCTATATTGAAAGCTTTCGATGCACAAGGATTAAGCATTAAGACAATCACAAATGGCTTTGCACGGGGTTTTGATAAAGCAGTTAAAGAAATAATTCCGAATTGTAAGTTGAAATTATTAGTCTCATTGAACGAATGTGAGCCCGTAAATTCATCTATAGTGTTTCAGAAAGCCACAACTGATAAAATACAGAAAATTATTAAAAACCTTGACTCCAATAAAGCTCCTGGCGACGACGCTATTAAAGTCTCAGATCTAAAAGTAATTAATAAAGAAATATCAGTAGCAGTAGCGAACCTTGTTAACGTTAGTGTTGGAACAGGTATGTACCCTAAATCTTTGAAAAAGGGTTGTGTCAGACCTATTTTCAAGAAAGGTAAACGCAACGACTTTAACTATTACCGACCAATAACTATTCTGTCAACAATAGATAAAATCGTTGAAAAGTACGTGTGTGAACAAATCCACAAGTTTTATAGTGACCATGGTGTTATACACCGTAATCAGTTTGGCTTTCAACGTGGTAAAGGTACTACTGAATTGCTATCTAGCTTTACCGATCAAGTCAATGAACACATGAATAATAAAAATCACGTGCTAGCCCTATTCATAGATTTTTCTCGCGCGTTTGACACCCTCAACCACACACAACTCCTAAACAAGCTTGAGACTAGTGGTATACGCGGTCCTCTACTAGAATGGTGTAACAGTTACATTAACGACCGTAGCTTTCAAGTCAAAATCGAAAATACACGTAGTGACACTATTATCACTACTGAAGGAACGGCACAGGGATCAGTAATTGGCCCTTTACACTTCTTGACGTACGTAAATGACATGAACAGCTACTTAGAACATTGTACTTGTTATCAGTTTGCTGATGACACATGCTTATTGGTGGCCGACAAAGACCCAAATAAAGCATGCAAGCTACTACAGTCCGACTTCAATACACTAAGTAAGTGGTGTCATGACAATGGTTTAGTGCTTAACCCCAACAAAACGAAACTCATGCATATCAGGTCGCCTTACCTTAAGCAGTCGTTAACCTGTCATATAAAAGCTCACGAACACAGTTGCCTACACACTGTCTCATCTTGTTGTTGCCCTGTTATTGAACTAACTGACTCACATACCTACCTAGGACTTAACATTGATGACAAAATGAATTGGACCAACCATATTGAACATGTCTGTAATAAATTGAGACAGTTCCTTGCAAATATCACCATACTTACCAGACGTATTCCATATAAGGTTAAACTAATGCTATACAACTCATTGGCGGAGTCTCATGTTCAATACTGCCTCAGCAGTTATGGTCGTACCTGTGACACACACCTTAACAAAATTTATAAAATTCAGTTACGAATATTAAAGAGAATAGTGTCACCAAAAACTAAATTACGATACAAAGATAATGAATTAGGCCTTTTTAAACATTGTAATACTTTACCAGTCCACCTCCAATTCAAATTAAATTTATTAAAGGAACAGTTTTTTAATTCATACTTGTACACAAAAAAAGAACATTCTGTATACACAAGAAGCATCGCTCAAAACAAGTTATGTACAGTGCGAGCCGATAATACGTTCGGAGAAAGAACTACTTGCTATATGGTTCCCCGGTTAATTAATCAACTACCCTCTGACTTGCGAAATAAAATAACAAAAAATAATTATAAATCTGTTCTCAAAAAACATCTGTTGGATGGCATGGGGAATTGAACGTGGTGATGTACTTGTCTATTCAATTCTCACACACTTACTATTGATTGTATTGTAATTCTTTATTGTATAATTCGTCAGCAATTGTATTGAGATCCGATTTCCGTAGCATAAGGACAAACCTCAGTGGTTTATTTGTGCTATTGTAACAGAAAATTGTATGTTTTTATGTTTTGATAATAAAGGAAAAAAAAAAAAAAAAAAAAAAAAATGTACCTACTAAACTCGAAAATTCCTGAACGAATTTTCATAAGATATTTAATGTTACCATGACACTAATTATTTTGAAAATTTTACTAATATTATAAATAGGTAGTTTGTGAGAATGTGTGTGTGTCTGTTATTCCTTGACACATTAACAGCTTGACCAATAAGGTTGAAATTTTTTATGTAGAATTTGCCAGACTTCATTTCATCTTGTATTAGTGAATGTCTCTGTGGCTTGCTAATAACTTGCTCCCGTGTCAATCAAAAATCTCATACCACTTTTTCGGTCGGTAATAGTGAGGCGGTTGGACGGGTGAATAGCACAGTGTTCCGCCGTTGTCCGTGCTTCAATTAGTTTCCCTGTTTCCTTGAGTTGAGATCCTGTTTCCAATCACAAGGTTGAACACACTTTTGTGCATATTTTTTTAAATCTTCCATGGTAAAAACAAAAGTGCCTTCTTTCTCTTGAACTCGACTGTGGTAGGAAATGCCGACGATTGGAATAACTTTGAGTGCTGCGTCAATAGTTTTTTTGACCTTGCTGAATTGCATTTAGTTCCAATTGCATTTCTGCTAACTGTGCTAGTATGCATGACATCTATGTCTTCTGTGACTGCTAGAACCGAAGTAACTGATGGTGGCAGAAGCCTCAACCATAGAAGTTTGATGGT